GACTTATCCACCTCTGAGGTGGGAACAGGGAATGGAGATGATCTAGCAGTGAGACTGCTCACAACAGGCCAGATACTCCCAACTGTAGGAAAATTTTGAGATGCTCTGCTTAGAATAAGCTACTGTTTGAAGCAAATAAAAGCACCAGGCATCATCCAGGACCAGTCCAGATGGGGAGTTTGGGATTGTAACTACTTGCTGTCATGAGCTGCAGATAAATTTAGTCTTGCCGTAAGAGTCAGTTTTCCATTTTAAAATATTTCCCGTCCTGTCTACTTTCAGAAATGGCAGCACAGTAGATCTCCTTTTTTTCTTTAATTTTCTTTAGTGGATATGTTGATAAGTTTCAGGAGAGAATAAAGCTTTTAAGGTTTGTTCCAAACTAAGCTGTATTCTGTCCCTTGTGCTTTTCAGCTGTGACCTGTCCTGCCTTGGAAATGCCTGCTCATGGTGCTGTGAGCTGCTCCCATCCCTCTGTGGAACTCACCTGGGGAACCACCTGTGAGTTCACCTGTGAGGAAGGATTTACCCTGACAGGACCAGCTACTCTGCAGTGTGGGTCTTCTGGGGCCTGGGACAGGCAGCAGCCATCCTGTGCAGGTACCTGTCCTTATCCCTGCTCACCTGAGCACTTGGGGCTCTCAGCATTGGCATGCTGTTCTCCTGAAGCATCTGTGCTGATTTCTGTTGTGATCCTTGTGTTGCAGCTGTGAGGTGTGAGGCTGTAACCTGGCCAGAAGAAGGCTTTGTGACCTGTGACCACACTCCTGCAGATCTCACCTATGGCTCACGTTGTGATTTCCACTGCAGTGAGGGCTACGTTCTGGATGGCCCATCCAGCACTGAGTGCACAGCACAGGGACAGTGGTCAGAGCCAGTGCCAAAATGCAAAGGTAAGACTTACTGGGATGGCAAATGGAGTTTTCTAGTCATTGGAGAACATGCTGAAATCCATATTCCTACAGAGTCCTGTCTTTGGACTAAACTGTGCTCCTTCTTAAGTAAACTTCTGCTGTGGCTCTCCTTGCCTTATAAATCCCTGCTCATGGCTCTGTGAGCTGCTCCCATCCCAAAGTCAAATGAAATTTGAAAATAAAATGTACATCTATTAGTGCAAAAAATAGGTCCAAATACAGGAAAGCCCTTAATGACTCTTAACTATTTCTATATTTCAGTTGTACAGTGTGAACCATTGAGCTCTCCTGAGAAAGGCTTTATGAATTGCTCACGTGCTGCTGGGATCTTCACATACAACACAGCCTGCCATTTCAGCTGTGTGGAGGGATGGAGTCTCAATGGCTCTCATCTGCTTGAATGCAGTCATTCAGGAAACTGGAGTGCAAGCCTGCCCACGTGTGAAGGTATTTTACTTATGACTAGCCACACAGAGGTGGCTCTGGGTTTCTAGTTAGATGAGGTGTGGAAGGGTGGTGGAGGTAATACCAACCAGTGAGTGAGAACTTGTAGTGAATTTCATGAATTAAAAAGTTCAGCAAAATCATTCAGTATGTTTGAAAATAGAATAGGGGGGAAATCCTAAAAGATTGGCGTCAGTATGTTTGAAAATAGAATAGGGGGAAAATCCGAAAAGATTGGCAGAAAACGGTGATTTCTTTTCCAAACCTAAAAGCTGCAACTTGATTTCAGGTTTGTTTTTTAATTAAAATATTTCATATGTTGAGCTTTTTTTTTCATATGAATAAAGACAAAAGCTTTTCTAGAGAAACAGAACCTGGTGGGGAAATCTGCATTCATAAGTCTGTTTTTCAAGGGGAATATATATATTTATAGGTTTTTTAATTTGGTGTGATAGTTTCTTGGATGAACTCCTCAGCCAAAAGTCTCTTCTGTCAGAGGCTGAAATTTCACAGGACAGAAGGCTCAACCTTACCTTCTCATTCAAGGCAGCCAGAGCTCTGTCACTGTCCTCAGTGGGACACTCCTGGCCTGCATGAAATGCTTTTGCTTGAGGTCCTAAAAGCTCAACTCCACTTCTACTTACTGAGCAGAGTTTAGATCCTTGAATAATTTCATTGATCTCAACAGGATTGTTCAAAGAGGAAGATAGCACACAGGGAGTTAAAATACGAACTGAAACATGAACTATAAGAGATAAGCACAAATTGGCACGTGAGGCTGGAGGTTAGACAGATCCTGGTGTAGGCATCATGTTGCCTTGGCATTGCTTTGGCAATGAGTGGGATAATTTTCAGCATGCAGCATTTTACCTTGTGTACAGGATGTGTCCTGCCTTGGCAAGAGAAAACTTAAGGGTTATAAGCTGCAGTTCTGGTTCCTCTTGAAGAGCACAAGGAAAGGGAAGGAGGAGAGAGGGCTTCAAAGGCCACACTTGCCTCTTGATCTCACTGAAACCTTTTCATCCTTTCAGCTTCTGAACAACTCGGCTACGTCTCTGTGGGCATAGCAGCCACATCTGCCTCTCTGCTGTCCACAGGAACATTCCTCCTTTGGCTTGCAAGGCGCTTCCGAAGGAAAGGTGAGCAGTTGATCTGGATCCACTGGTTTTATTTACCTCTCTGAAAATTTTCAGTGGAGAAAAAAACCAAACAAAGCCTCCAGAGGCCTGTATCTTGATTTTTGACAAAGTAAAGTTTCCCATAGTTAGACAAATCCCCAAATTATTTTCAAGAACTCTGCATCCATGCCATGTTTGGCTCTTGGATGAACACCCAAAAAAATAGTAAAAGACAAATGTTTAGAAAACAAAAATTAGAAGAAAAAAGAGCAGCATTTTATTTATTATGAAACAAAGCCTCCAGAGGCCTGTATCTTGATTTTTGACAAAGTAAAGTTTCCCATAGTTAGACAAATCCCCAAATTATTTTCAAGAACTCTGCATCCATGCCATGTTTGGCTCTTGGATGAACACCCAAAAAAATAGTAAAAGACAAATGTTTAGAAAACAAAAATTAGAAGAAAAAAGAGCAGCATTTTATTTATTATGCATTTATTAATTCAGGGAAAGATAGAATGAGAATTTGAGATGGGGCTAATGGTACATTAATAACTGCCTCTGAGATTTATTGATAGATAATGGCATTTTATGAGAGATTCAGAAATTTTAATTGGATATTCAGAGGTTTTAGTAGAAGAAAATGTTTTCCTGAAGGAGGTTTTGTCTTGAAATGCTAATACCTTTTCTTATTCTTTTTGCAGCAAAGAAATTTATTCCTTTCAGGTAAGTTGTGTCTCAAAAAGCAACATGAAAACCCTTACAATGACTTTGCTGAAATCCATTTGATATAAACCTGTTGTCATTAAAGTACTTTTCACTTCTGTGTTTTGCAGTAACTTGGAGGAATCAGCCTCTGAGGGTAGTTTCCAAAGTGCTGGCCAGAATGTCTAACTTGGGTGTTTCAGGTAAGCACATGAGAGAGCTGCACTCCCAAATCCTCTTCCTTTTAATCACACAAGCAATCAAAGCTGCTAATTGCTGTACAATTGCTGAGACAGCAATATGTGCTTTGGGGTACCTAATCTGCATCTTGGCATTGCATGGAAGTTCCTAACAAGACTGATGGATTTATTGCTTTAGAAGTGGTTATTCAGCTCCTTAAGGATGATTGTGCTTAGCATTCTGACCAGCTGCATGTTTTATTAGGAACATTTTTGTGCAGTTTTGCTACCTGCTGCATACAGAATTCCTCTGAAATGAGAGCAAACAAAAATCTATGCCAATTTTCCGATTTATGGAGGAATTTTGTTCTCTCTGCAGGAATTTAAGCCATCTTTACTTACGTCTCAGATTTCTGGAGAAGGAAACTGCATGCAAATCAGCAGCTGTCCAGATGTTTTTACCTCTTGCTGACAAGATGATTGGACCTTGTGTATTGTTCAGAAATTTTGAACTCAAGCTGTCTGGTATTTCCATTGAAGACAAGCAGAGAGTAAAACTCTGGCCTTCTGGCAAAATACTGTCCACATTCAGTCATGGAGTTATCATAACTGGGAGCTTGCCATCTCCTGTCCAGATGGTGAGCAAATAGTGTGCTGCTGCCTAAAGAGGAGGCTGGTTCCTCCTCTGCTCTACTCAAAGGTACTGAGGTGAGGTGAAGACATGCATTATTTCACATCACTTACTACACTGCTGGAGGTGTCTTCTCTGGAGTCATGTGGGTTATGCTTACAGACACAGAATAATCAGGCTTAAAAACATTCATTGAGTAGCTTTGAAAATACTGATCTGGTTTGTGGAAGTCAGTTTGTTTTAAGAGGATATTGCAGTCAATAAATATGCCTGTAGTGATATGGGCAATTATTTGGGTTACTGCTGCATGTCCCAGAAAACTTAGGGACTTTAAACCTCATTCTTTTTATGATAGCACTAGGAACCATAGTGCTTATCTGAGGTACTCTGGTTTCTGAATGCAGCAGGCAGATGTGAAATGATCTCATCCCTGTGGGATTATGCACTGTAATACAGGTATAGACATACATATTTAATTGTGCAACTTTCACTGTGGATATTTCTATGCTGTTAACTGTAAATGTGTTGTAAAATACTTGTTCTTGAGCAGGTCTGTGGCCATTGATCTTGGCCCAGGTAATTTTAAAATAAACTGGAGGTGTTTGTAAGGATTTCATGCCTGCAAAATAGTTACAAATAAAATGGAAGCCTGAGATTTGTATGTCTGTATACTGCAAGTATGATTCATTCAGCTGTAAAAGGACTTACAGTGAGAGAGTCTGTCTTAAGTTATGTTAAATTATGATTGCAAATTAAAAATCTCTGACTTAATCTGATATGTATTGTCCTATTTGTAACATTATTTAATAAAATGTTTTCAATGTAATGTTCTCTTCTTGGAACGTACATCATTTAAATGATTTAGGTCAGCCCCGTGACTATGGCTTCAACAGCAGAATGTGAGGGTTGGGAGAGACTGGCTGAATAGTGACACTGTCCCTTATGGAGTTTTCCATGTTTCCATAGCGGTCAAGGACAGAGCAGCCACCAGATGGAGCTGAGTGCCTGGGAACTAGCGCAGCCAGGGCTGGATCCCAACCCAGCATCCCCAGTCCTGGAAGGGAGGAGGAAGGCTCAGCAGTGTGTCCCGTGAAGCAGGTGCCAGGACCAGCAGTGAGCTCTGAGATGCATGTTTAGGAGACAGAGGGTGAGCAGACAGAGAAGCAAGTAGGTGATCTTGTTGCACAGGTAACAGCACAAACCCTTTAGCCATGCAGGTCTTTTCCTCTCTTTCTGCTGGGAAGTTAGCTGAGGGAAGGGTCCTGGGCCAACAGGTGAAAGCACAGCTCTGGGGATTAGTGCTGACTGCTGTGTAGGGACCTGCACTCCCTCCCTGGCTCGGGCTGTGTCCAAAGTCTCTGCCAGGGGCTAGTGCTGGGTAGGCACCAGTGATGGCCAAATGCTCCCATGGCCACCCCTTGCCAACCCCTGGGATAGCCAAGGCAGCTGCACTGTGGCTCTGTAGCTGCGGCCAGAGCCAGCTCT